TTATCTTCAGCTAGGTCATATTCCACAGTCCTAGACAAGTGCTCCTCAAAGCTGTGTCTGTGGCTGGCTGCTGAGTCCAGCAGTTTTCTTACTGCCCCACCACAAAAAAGGCAGAGACATTGTGAGCAATCATTCAGAAACACCTATAGCAAAGTGACAGAGTAACTTTATGTTTGTTGAATCTAATAATTAAAAAATTGAGTTTCTGTTTTATATGTCTGGGTTTTAATTTTGTTTTTCTAGCAATTCAATTGTATTCTATTTTATGAAAGCATCAATCCATAGTTGATTGTTAATTAAAAGAAAACAAAAAGAAAGATTTTTCCCAAGATTAGAAATACTCAGCAAGTAAGTGCAGTGGAGTGTTCAGGGCCAAGACGACCTGAATGGCATTTCAGCTCTTCCACATAGAGCTATGTGCATAAGTTACTTAAACACTGTGTCCCAATGGCTCTAGCTGCAAAATGCATGTCACAATATTTGCATCCCAGGATCCTAGGGAAAACCCAATAAATGTTGGCTTTGGTGTCAGATGGCCCTCAGTTTCCTCAACTGTGAAATGGATGTAACAATCCCAGTGTCACAGTGGTTTAAGGATCAGATAACTTGGTTAAAATCTGTAGTTCAGTGCCTATGCAGTGTCTAGCAAAAACCCCAAGACAGCAGTCATTATTGTTGAAAGTGTCTAGGCATAGTAGGCCCTTGATAAATATTAACTTATATCATCCCTCATTTGTGTAGAGGATTCTGAAGCTCTCATGCCTTCTGATTTCAGTCTAAAATTTTGACTGACTGGGAACAACTCAGACTGACCATGTCATATACTGATGCTCTCAAAAAGGATCTGGACCCCTTGAGAAACAGTTTGTGGATGTGGCCCATCAGGACAGCCTGCTTCTGTTTACCAGAGGATGTTTCTTCTCTAACATTTACATCTGAGAAAATTCTCCTCTCTGCTGTCTGTGTTGAATGATATAATACTGGGAGAAGGCTATTGACAGCTATATCATAGGAATGCACAGAATAGCTATTTCAGGTAATGGGGAACAATGTCAAAGAAAGATCATCCTATCTCTTCTTTCACAAATTATTAAACGTAATGTGTCTCTTCATGCCCATCTTTAAAAAAAATGTATAAGGAGCTAGTTGTAATGAGTAGAAAGAATACATCGGCTGGATACGATGACTCACACCTGTAATCCCAGAACTTTGGGAGGTGGAGGCAGGCAGATTACCCGAGGTCAGGAGTTCAAGACCAGCCGGGCCAACATGGTGAAACCTCATCTCTACAAAAATGCAAAAATTAACCAGGCATGGTGGTGTATACCTATAATCCCAGCTAACGAGAAGGCTGAGGCAGGAGAATCACTTGAACCTGGGAGGTGGAAGCTGCAATGAGCCAAGATTGTGTCATGGCACTCCAGCCTGGGTGACAGAATGAGACTCTGTCTCCAAAAAAAAAAAAAAATACATAAAAAGTTCTACATCATTTTAGAGTTTATAAAATGCTTTGATCTGACTTGATTTTTACAATTCTATGGGCAGAGCCTTCTATTTCCACCTCACCGATAAACTCAGCTGAGAAATTAAATGTTTTCTAAGCATACATTGCTAGTGAAGGCATACCTTAAACTTGAACCCAATCCTTCAAATCCCAAAATATGGGTACAGAAAATACAGGTGAAGCAAGTTACATTCTGAAAAAAAATATTTCAGAAGAAAGTCTCAGAAAAATACTCGAATATGTGTAAAACTTTAAATTACGAATACAGATCTCTGTGAAAAATATGATGGCCAACCAAGAATGAATATATGGATGGGATGTGGGAAGAAAAAGAAACAATTGATGTCTATCCCAAAATAAAGAATACTAGGAAAAAATATTCAAAGGATTACAGCTTCTGTTTAAGGTATAACTAGATTCAAAACCCATAGGTATAAATGGGAGAAAAGGAAAAAAAATCAAAAAAGCTGACAGATATTCCTAAACGGCCCCAGGCTTAGAGACAGAGGCAGCCTTTGATGATGTCAGACAAACCCCACAGACAGCCCCAGCGGGCACCTTCAGCGGCAGAACTAACCTTACCCACTGGCCCACTTAACCATTACCACTCTGAAGACAGCTGGTGAAGGCCAGGGGTAGATCATTCTGTCAGATAAATGTCTCCAGCTGCTACCGATGCCTGCAACCTCATCGGCTTAGTATTTGACCCTTAATAAGAGGTCAGTTACCTTAGCAAGGGCAGCACCTCAAATGTTCTCAGTCATCTAGATCTTTGTGTGGATGAATTTCAGGTCCTTACTTGAAAGGAGGTCTTAGCAGTAGAGGAAAACAGAGAGGCAGAGCAAATAAGGAGAGAGTGCCCCTTCTCAAGAAAGGCTGGCAATGCTGATGGGAAATACTGGCTTTTCACGATTCTCTCCGTTTCTGTAGTTATCATGATCGCCTGACACAATTCTCTAATATTTTATTAGGAAATTTTAGGCAACATTTTTCGAATCATAATGCATTACACCGAAAAATTTTGTATAGAGGATAAGTGTATACATACAAAGACAGGCAATGAATAACAACAGTATTAAAGATCATTGCTAAGACTCACCAACCTCTTATCACAGGCTTTATACTCTCTATCCTGTTTAATCTTTACAACCACTCTCTGGGGATTGGTATGATGACTTTCCTGACTTTATAGTTAAGAATCGGGTTTAGAAACTGTTTGTACATCTAGTAAGCAGTAGAACAGGAATGTGAACCAGTCCAGTTCTGGTTCAACCACCACATTTGTGCACCAAATTTAAGTGTTACTCTATTATCATCTTATCACCCACATTCATACATGTATCAATATTCTAGACCCCCTGTAGCAAGGAACCCAAAGCCTCTTATTATTAAAGCTTTTTAAAATAGTAAAATAATCATAGGAGAATAGAGTGAATTTCTAAGCTAAATCACAAAGCTTCTAATTAAAAATGGTTTTGCTTGAAACCTGCTTGGGGAAACACCCCTAGACCCAAGGAGTCCTTGTTTCACTCCTCCCCTAATTTTACTATTTTGTTGAAAAATTTGAACTAGTCTGCTCAATGACTATGTGTGTGCAGGTATTTGACCTGAACCACAGATCCTTGATCTTCATATTTAAAGATGAATCTGTTTGAGGGGTCTGTTATCTTCATGTCACATTAGAGAGAAATGGTTCAGCCTTCTTTTGAGCTGTAAGCTTATTAACATAGCCTAGAGGACCCCCACAAACCACAGTAGCTGAAGGGTGACTGCCTCCTTCCCCTTCCCCTGACAGTTATGCTGTGATTCGCATTGTGTGGTTTCTTTGATTAAAAAACAAAACAAATTTTATTCGCTAGCATTTTTCATTTAACAAGTAGAAAAAGAAATGCACAAAAACAAATCATCCTTGTGCTCTACCTCTCTAAACTTACCCGCATTCATGACTATCTGAGGAAAGGGCTTTGAAAACATGAAAGTACTAAACAAACATAAGGCCTCAAGTAATTAGACAATTAGGGGGTCATTTAGTGCACTAGAGTGCAGTGGAGTTTCCCTGTTCAGTGTCTGAATGATTTTGGTTATATTCATGGCAGTGCTTCTATAGTTACACAGAGAAGTGCATGGGAACTTCGAAATATTTTGAACTTATTGATCCTGAACCTCTCTGGAGAAAATAAATGAGTATCCAAAATTCTTCATGGGCCCCAAAGGACATTTATAAATAGAATATCCTTGTCAGCTTAAGGCCAAACTGGCTACAGAATTCGTCTAATTACTAAGAGACAGGGACACGAGCCCTTGAAAAGATTCTAGGTACACTCATGGCACACACATGCATTCACCTCTAATTATTCATATTTTTCCTGTTAAAACCTTGAAAAAGTGATTTTATTTTTCCACTGTACTCTCCTTTAACTGTTGATCTAATCTGATAAGAAATATCTATAGGATGGTCATAGAATATGAAACCAAACAAAGCAGGTTTATATTCCATGATAAGATGGTGCATGTGCAGACTCTAACTTAGGGAAAGAAAAGGCTTTGTAAAATTTATTTCAATATATGAGCATGTAGGCACTATCTGAGGAACTTTTTGATTCATTAATAAAATGAGTTATGACATTATCACCATCATCTGACACATCTCAGGACTTTAGTCTTCCTACTGCAACTGTGTACTGCATTCACCTATCCAAGATGACTCTTAGAGAGTGTTCTAAGCTTCCCTAAAAATGCATTCAGTGCCAATGCAAACTGATCATATTCATCCCAATTTTACTGTTCCCAGGGAAAGTCCCCTCCAAAAAACAATTCCACAGTCCATTGCTATTCAGGGAGCAGGGCTAATGCTTTTCCTCACTCTTTCTGTCCCTACGCTTCATTTGCATGCACAGGAGAAAAAGACATCCAACACAAGAGAGTGACAAGCCAAAAGGTCAAGGATCAGCACAGTGATGTGCTTTATAATATTTGCTTAATTAAGTGAGCTTCACAAAGTACACAAGGAGGTTTATACTTACCACTTAGGACACAGTAATCAAATTAACAGAACACTGTGAAACTCATTCTCAATTTCTTGTTCTAGTAGGAGCAAATAATGACATGTAAAATTGTGCAACACACGTATATGTTTGAGGTACTTCACAAACATGTACATTTAATGGGATTTTTTTTTACCCCACATATTTAATTTTTAATAAGTAAAACTACCTGAAATTCTTCTACTACATTCTATTTTGGCAGTGGTAGAAAGTAGCCCCATAACATGCTGGATAGAAGAGTACACCCATTTGGATTGAAAAATCCACCATAGTTAATCCTCAAAAGTGAAATTTTTGCATCCTATAATCAGGAGTTGCTGGGCATTTGATTAAATACCCCAGGCATTTCATCCCCAACCTACTTTCATTTCTCCCCCAACTGGCAAACAAGAGAAATTAGACCAAGGACCCAAAGAAACAAAGTGTGTACTTTAATACAGAAATGCTTTTACCTGCCATCCTGCTGTGAATGAAATGGGCTGGGCTTTCAAAATGTTAGTCAGCTTAACTCCCAGTTGGTGGCACTGGGAAAACGTAGCCACTCAGTCTTATTGCTGTGTTTCTGTTCTTTAACTGCCAACTGGAATACAATAGAGGATTCAAATGGAAACAAAAGAGGGATGAATCCAGAAAGAACCAGAAGGACGACAACAAAGCAAGCCAAGAAAATGCTAAGGAGCCAAAGACACTGCGTTCCCCAAAGTCAGCATCCCAGGCCCTCTTCACATGGAAGATAATTAGGCTTCCGTTAATTGCCACTTCCCCTCAGAGAGTCATGATATTTTACAAATCGGAAATTATCTAGTAGATGCTTATCTTTGCAACATTTTAGGAAAGTCATAAGATATGTTTAACCCAAACAGAGAATGACTATATCACATTGCACAGACGTGGATAATTTATTTTACATATTATGAGGGATTTTAATGTAAACATACAGAGTAGCAGTGTTGAATACACTAATATTTTTGGACCACAAAGACAGTGCCTCCATTCTGATGGATTACAGTATATGTAGCATACACAGAGGGCTAGATATTTTTATTCTCATATTGCATCAACAGGTACCTGGAACTTTACTTATGTTCAGCTTCTCCATCATCTCGCCATTGTTTTTTGTACTTTTTTTTTCTTCTTATGCAGACATCATATTATTACAATAGTAGACACAAGGCTGCCACTTATCACACAATCCTCATGTCCTCTTTTAACTTCAGAACGTGTCAAAGTATGTATACCATTGTCTTTGGTTTGTGCACATTTAAGAATTCACACATCAAAAGGCAAACTTTGTCCAGGGTTACAGAGAAGCATGCCTTTCTCGTTCCCCCCCCCAAGAATAATGATATACACAATTTATATTTTAATTTAAATATGCTGCATGATGTATTGAGTTATAGTTTTCTAAGCTGCAAAGGATGAAAAAAACAGTAAAAAATAATGTGACTTACACAGAAACAAAATACATTCAGTAGCCCGGCTTTTAGGTCACAGTTTAAATAATGTATATGAAGGCTTATATTATAGATTTCTATATCAAATGGATAAATGAAAACTTTCATGGGCCTGGGATAGTCATAAGTAAAATCACATCTTATGGGCCATGATAAAATCTTACCTTATCAGATGTGACATCCAAAATGTCGCATTTTCCCTGTGATTTTATTAATAATGCAGGAGCATCCATCTAACAGAGAATCTCTTTTATAAAACACTGTCTTTGGTATGAATCAGAGTCAGAGTATTAACTAGGTGATCAGTACAAAATATAAACAACTCTTGTGGTGTCAGCCAGTCTGAAAGTTCAGAATAAGAAAAAAAAAGTAAGAATTTTCCACTGGCCAGCAAAAATCAATACTACGGTTTTCATAATACTGTGAACTTGCTAGCATTTTATATTTTAACTATCTTTTTATGTTATTTTATTTATAGGGATGTGGTCTCTGCTACCCAGGCTGGAGTGTAGTGGCACAATCATAGCTCACTGCAGTCTCAAACTCCTGGGCTCAAATGGTCCTCCCGCCTCAGCCTCCCAAGTAGCTGAGATTCCAGGTGTGAGTCACTGCACCAGGCTTAACTTTCTTATAATCCATTTTTGATCCCACAAATTACTAAAAATCAAATTGTGTCTATCCCCACACAAAGCAAAATGGTAATTTGTCAATTTTACGCTTTGAGACCTAAATTATTTTCCTTAATCTTCTACTCCTCAAATTCATTATATAAATGAACAATTTACCATCTCACTTCACATGAGGAAGATAATATTATAGAATGTAGATCCCAGGATAGAGCAACCAAATGCTACCTGGGGAAAGATGAACGTGCGTGTGTGCGTAACTTGAATTGTTCCAATTATTCTTTTGCTTATAAGGCAATTTCTATATGAGTTCCAGAAGCCCCTTGGAAGCCAGAGCCATTAGCATGCAACATTTTCTACTTCTGGAAGCCAACTCATAATAAATCTCTTACCTTGTACAGAGAGGGAACAGCACAGGGCTCATAACAGGATGAGTGATGCATAAAATGTTCTTCAGCTGACTTCCCATGGGATTTATATTTCCAAACCTAGGAACACCGTCTGCCTGCATGGATGAAATGCTAAGCAATGCAGTCAAACAACCAATATGTTATGCATAGTTTTTTAACTTTAAGAAATCTAGAAGAAACTGTAAAATATGTAAACAAGTAAGTTTGTGTCTAAACATTATAGCATAAATTAACTAGAAAAATATATAGCTTAAATAAGGAAGGTCAGTGATGGGCTCATATTTTAAGTGTGATTGTGATTATGAAAATAATATGCTATTTCTTAGAAACTGACCAGTTGCTGCATTCTTGGTTATAGGTTTAAGAGAGAGACTCTTTTGTATCGCATTAACACAAGCATTCCAAAAAGAAATCATAGGATCTGAATTACAGATAAAATGTCAGTCAAGGCGTCTATTTTGGGGGTTTATTTTTCAAAAGTAACCAAGAGAATAAAGAAAAGAATCTAAGAAAATAAATAAGAAAAATACATATATTCAAATTCTACTTACATTTTCTCATTTGTTTGTTTAAAAAGGTATCACTATTTTTTTTACAGTACAGTTTCAAGTCAGACTTATTTCCAGTCTAAATTTAGCCTCTGTTCATTGTGTCGTATTTCTGCAGGCATGGGAAAGAAAATCAATGCCCCTACTCACCTTTGAAAGAATTTCACTGCCAAGTCTCCATGGTTCTATGGGATCCAATAATCCATGGCTCAGTATTGATTTTTCTATGACACCTGTAGAAACAGCCTCTCCTTCCTTTCTAACAAAATATAGCAACAAAAATTGTGTAGTTTCTGAATGAATTAAGCATAGGTTATTAAGCACAACCTCATCGTTTAAGGTAATGTGGTTTGTCTTTTCTTAAAAAATGTTGACTTGGTTTGATTTTTTTCTGAGCCATTTAACAACTGTTTGAAGGTGATGTGAACATCTATTTGTTAAAATAATTTGAACGTAACTTTCTCAGGTTTCTGGCACCAACTTCTATATTGCAAATAGAATTTATTCTCCTAAGGAACTAGACAAATGGTAAAGCCTATCTGAGTTCAATTCCCAAAGTATCTCCAAAATTGAAATCTTTTTGAATATACAAAAGTAGAATCATGCTTTTAAAATATAAAGCTTCGATGAAATACAGGACCTTTAAGGGAGTAAATAGGGCATTTCAAATCCTACGAGAGAGAATGGGTTAAATTTGGGGTGTATTTTATAGCATTAAAAGAGTTGGAAAAACAGGCAAAAAGCATCAGCCTTTCTCTTTTCTCAACAAACACAGTCAAACACACACACACACACACAAACAAAACAAGAAGTCATGTTTCCAATATTCTTTACACACCTGATTTAAACCTCAAAGGTATTTGTTTCACCCTGAGCAGATTCTTTGGGCATGTCTGATTCTATTTCCCCGCAGCCATTCTGTGCTGAGTGGAGCAACTACAGTTGGCAACCTACTCCATCACTCACTCCATCATCCTGAGAATCTGCAAAATAAAAATGCAGTGTTAAAAAAAAGAAAAAAAAATTTTCTTTTACCTTTGCTTTTCCTGGTAAAATCCTAGAAAAAAAAATATGGAGCAGGGTGTTTCCCACAATGTATGTGACATCTCAGTTAAAAGTGACAGGACCATGCTGCACTGTGACAGGTTTAGTGTTAAGACCTGACAGATATAAACCTGCAGGAACAACCTCCCTGCCACAGGTATTTAAGCTCATGTGAAAACTTTGATTTGATAGTCCCTTGATTAGCTTTTGCAACAGTGAGTGCTACTGCCTTTCAAGTTCATTATAAATTACAGAATTCTTCACAGTACTGTCAATTTAAGCTCTTGTTTTACTAAAAGGCAGGCATTTTAGCCATTCATCAAACCTGCGCACATTTTTGAGTTAAAGAATTAGATCAATCCAAACTCCAGTTCTCAAGGGAGAAGTTCCATTGTTTATCAGGCCATGTCTACACTGGCTGAGCAAAGCGCTCTGTTCAGAAGGAGAAGCGCCTTTGGCAGCTAGAGTCCACATAGCTGACCCATGGATGCTCGGGTGGAGTTTCTTCACCTAATTACACAAGTGCAATGAAATTACTGAACATTTGATGAAAATGACCCATGACAACAAAATAGCATGACATGATTGTTGTTCTAATCTATTTACATGGTAGTCATTTAGAATGTAATTCAAAGAATCTGTAAGAATGAGAAGATGCTTACACTTACAGGAGATGATAAATATGGGTATTGAAATACTTGATAACTCAACAGTTGGTTTTACCCAAGTCAATCTTTCTAAACAAGACAGTGGAGGCACAATTTTAAAATGAAATACTTTTTCCTAACTGGTCCAGGTTAAGCTCACAATGCTTATATTTACAGAGAGAAATTCACAGAGTTTAAATAATTAAAAAGATGATTTTACTCTCAACAAAACAGATTAAAAGGTAATCAACCTTTTGGAGAAAATATTTACATTTTCCCAACTTGCTCAGTCAAGATTTAGTAACATCTATAGGTACATTCGATTCTGGTGACAGTACCGTGCCCTTGACTCATCTTGAACGTTTTAGATAAAAATGTGGTTTAGCAGAAATGTTCTACTAACAGCCATGAAATTATAGGCTTTCCCTTTCATCCATCCAAATACACACCACCCTGTGAAATAATAGAAACAAACACTAATCACCTTTGGAATTTTGCCAGCCTTCCCCATAGGTGAGCTGCAGAGTTGGACTAAATTGTATTGGAGGAATAAAGCCTGTCTCACCCCTGTGAATGCTCTCAGAGGGCTTCAGAGTGCATCCATTTCAATTCATCGAAGAAAGCAGAAGTAAAGATTTAACTGTGTGGGAATCTATCAGAGCTTACCTCTATCAATATCTCCGCAAAATAAATTAGTTAAGTCAAACTCACATTCAGTTTCCCTAATCACTTGGACTTTGCAAATAGGAGTAGCTCATAATTTTTCTTTTTTTTGCCAATCCCAACTTCAAATTTTGAAGATAAATGTTTAGTCACTCTGTTTCAGTTGGTAGTCATTCATACAATTTATGCATCAAATCCTTTTTTAGTGGTTGCAAAATTCCAACTTCAGATGGAGTCATGGCAATGTCTGGCTGATTCGTTTTTTAAATTACCACTCATATTATAAAACAAAAGAAATCTAGTTGCTCTAATTGCCTTATTTAGCAAAGTTCATCTAAGATAAGCTGAATTTTGTATCTTCTGAAAACCCTGAGAATGTTTAAATATAATATAAATATAATTGTTGCCAAAAATGTTTCAGTCACCTGATGATGATGATGATGGTGGTGGTGGTGGTAATAAAAGTAGCAAACGTCCTTATGGTACTTGACTATGTGCCAAGCACTGTCTAAATGCTTTGTGTATAGAAACTCATTAATCCCCCAACAACCCTATAAGATAGATACTATTAGCCCAATTTAACAGATGAGGAAACAGGATTACAGAGACAGCAAGTTACTTGCCCTGGATCATGTAGTTAGTAAATGGTAGAGATGGATTTAAATCGGCGCAGTCCGGCTCCAGTGTCTATACTCTCTTAGATGGTGATGGGCTTGGCCTAGCCACAGTGATGAAGCTGGCATATCATTATGCATGGACGTTTAAATTAAAACGTGGTGTTTTGACAGTGGTTCTTTCCTTCTTATATGAATAGAAATAACATGCCTGGAACTAGAGCTTGACTTTCAACTATTCTGTCCACCAGGCTCATTTTTCTAAACTCATTCAGGATTTCCTTTACACCTTTCAAAACTTATATTGTAAGATATTTGTAAATGTGAAAAATATCAAATAAGAAAGGAACTGTAAAAAAAATTTTTTTTAATTTGGGCCTAAGAATAATAGAGCATGTACCTAAATATACCCTCATGGGATCAGGCCTACCGAGGTCAAATCCTAATGCTACCTATTCTAAGTTGGACAAGTTGTTTTATTTCTCTCTGTCTTAGTTCTGTTGTCTATAAAATGAGAATGAAAATAGTGCTATAGTTTAGGATTGTGAAGATTAAATAAATTAATCCATATAAAATGCTGACCCCGGTGCATGATAAGCAAGCATTTGATAAGTATGAACTTCTGTTATTATATTTAGTTTATATAGACTAGCCTTCAGCTGCAACTAAGCATTGACAATTAAAATTTGTCCTTGTAGTGTGAAAGTATTAACAGAGATTTAAGAAAAATTTGTTGTTCTCACAGGAAATCCTTTCAGCATAGGGAAAATTTGGCTTTAAAAATTCACTGAGACATATTTTCACAAAGAATTTTATTCCCCCTATTTTCAAGAACATAGACAAATTACAGATTATGACAGAACCACTTAAAAAGTCATCGGAGTTTATGCTGTTATCACCTAAAAAGCTAAAAGTAGCCTTTTTGTTCTTGAGACAGGGTCTCTCTCTGTTGTCCAGGCTGGCATGCAGTGGCATGATCACGGCTCACTGCAGCCTTAATCTCCTGGGCTCAAGTGATCCTCCTGCCTCAGCCTCCCCAGTAGCTGGGACTACAGGTGCGCGACACCATGCCTGGCTAATTTTTTTGTACTTTTAGTAGAGATGAGGTCTCACTGTATTGCCCAGGCTGGTCTCAAACTCCTCAGCTCAAGTGATTTTCCCACCTCAGCTTCCCAAAGTGCTGGGATTAAGGTGTAAGCCATTGCAGCTGGCCTGAAAGTAGCTTTTTCTATGAAAAACCTTTTCTATATGGCAAGGTTTTAAATAACATAAAAGTATTGCTTCCTTGTTTTTATATCATAATTCATATTTCTAAACAGAACTTAAGTCAAATTGACCTTGATGGCGGTGATTCAATTTTAACAACTGAGCAATTAAACATCAGTAAAATTGTCCATTATCTTCAGTTTGTCCATTTTTTAATTCACACTTCTCAATAATCTGAGTGCTTAGGTTTATGTTTAAGTCCCAACTCTTTGAGGTCACATGGATGAGTTAGAAATGGCTACTCTGGAACATAAAATAGAAATGTCCATCCCAAAGAAAAAGCAATGCAGGGACTAGGAGAAAGTTAATTACTAAGCATCCAACTTGCATAGAGCTATTTGGTAAGTGCTATAGAGAGAAAACAAAATGGATTGAAACCTTTTTGGTTCAGTTCTAAAATGGACATCTTCACCAGAGACAGCGTGAAAACCCCAGAGGCCCAGAAGCTATTCTAGGTGAATCTCACACTTTCGCCTGGATATTCCCAGGATGCACTGAATTGCCTTTTTCCAGTTTGGTCACCATGGAACTTGAGAGCCTCTTGCTGGTCCCCAAGGAGCTGGCAGTAAAGAGAGACGCATTTGCCTCATGTCCCAGTACCTCAGAGACCAGATATTCTTTGGCGATCCTGAAATAAAGTCTTGATATATAGTACCTTGGTCAAGAGTTAAAGTTTTGAATAAAGGAGTTGGTGTGTAGCCTCATCTGGGACAAAGAGAGTAGATTGAAAACCAGGCACAATCAATGTGTCTCAATGTTAATCCTAGCTGTATTCACCCAGGCTCCCCACTGCAAACTCTGCCTCCCAGCACTGCAACCTCTCCCTCCCAGGTTCAAGCAATTCTCCTGCCTCAGCCTCCTGAGTAGCTGGGATCACAGGCATGCACCACTGGCTAATTTTTGTATTTTCAGTGGAGACGGCATTTCACCATGTTGTCAGGCTGATCTTGAACTCTTAACCTCAGGTGATCCACCCGCCTCAGCCTTCCAAAGTGCTGGGATTACATGTGTAAGCCACCACGCCCGGCCAAAAAACTCTCATTCTGAAATGGGATCTTAGCAGTCATCAGCTTCCAGGTCTCTAGATAAGGACAGCATGTCCCAGAAACAGCCATCTGCCAAAAGTCTCATAGAGTGAGCAGCAGTTTTAGAATTAGAACCCGTGGAGGTAGAAGGACATGGTTGAAATGTTAGAGTAGAAACAAATTCTTCATAGCAATTAAATGATTAGAAGGAAAATGGAAACACAAGGAAAGACACAAATAACTTCTACTGTCAAGAGATGTCAGCAACCTCAACCGTGAATTATTGGCACAGACAACCAGGGGGATGTGAAGAACAAAGACTGCCAGGAGCTGAACAAGGCAACCTGGTTTCACTGAGAGGATGAGGCTTCCCTACCAAAGAGAATGGACTGTTGCAGTAACTATGTGGGGAAGTTATCTGATGTTCAGATTTCCTATCTGAGAGCATCTTTAAGTTACTTAACCACAGTGTCAGTCACAGTGTTATCTCCAGTATCTTCAACAAGCATTATTAGCTGCAGCTATTACTGCTGCTACTCTACTGCTGACCCCCCCAACCCCAGCTGCTCAAGGTTCATTAAATGTGTTTTTCAGATTTTCTAAACAAAATATAAACATTTTATTTTCTTGTGGCAGTTTCATTTTTTTATTGTTGCATGTTTGGGTCTCTTTTAAAGATATTTAGATATTTAAGTTTTAGAAAGGATACTCCTTATTTCATATC